CCACTCTGGATCCTCAAGAGTGGATACTGGCAAGTGGAAATTCATCCCGATGATAGAGAAAAGAAGAACTGCGTTCACTACCGGTCAAGGACTCTGGCAGTTTAAAATTATGCCTTTTGACTAATAATGCCCCTGCAACATTTGAACGCCTGATGGAGACAGTGCTTCGTGGCCTATCATTACGAATCCTGTCTGGTCTACCTAGACGATATCATTATAGTGGGCTGTACTTTCGAGGAACATCTAGAAAATATCAGGAATGTGTTCCAGAAATTGAGAGATGGCCAACCTTTAAAGTGAGCCCTTCAAAATGCGAAGTTGTTCCACAGTGAAGTTACCTATTTCAGGTACGTCATCTCTGCCGAAGGTGTCTGCACAGATCCAGAAATGGTGTCCGCAGTTAAGGACTGGGAACGTTCTGTGGATACTCATCGATACTTCATCAAGTGTCGTCGTTATTCACTCCAAATCCACACGAACCCCGTAACGAATGTGATGAAAGAAAATAATGCAACAATACATATACAGATTTCATCTTCCATAGAAAAAAGACAATTTCTAGCCTTACTCTTAATACTTATTAAACACGAAAAACTTATTCACAGATGTATGATGCTGAAAACTGCAGCAATACAATAATTTCTTTTCTACGAATCATTGGTTACACATTTTCAGCAAAAATTCAGAATTTGTCTAACATGTTGTCAACACTGCAATTATGTCTCATTTTTAATGGATTATATTTATTAAATTTAATCAGATTATAAGTAACGACATTGTTATTCTTTTAAAATTAGGTTCTGAGGATGAACGGAAGTGCAAGAGAATGGATTTCTCACCAAATCATATAGTACTGTTGACAGGGATGGAATAATTAATAATCAACTTCCTTCGATAGCTCCTCTGGGTTGGATACAATAAAACTTCCCTTTTAGTTCTGCCAATAATCCATACATATTATGATTCCCTTTTACCATACATAGGTTTCCATATATTTAATTTTCTTTTACAGCATGGAATCTCGTAACTTGTTCAGTTGATTCAAGTGACACACACACACACCAAAAAAAAAAAAAAAAAAAAAAAAAAATGCTAATAAGTCAGCATCTGCACCCATATTAAACTCTTAAAGCATTTAGTAAAATCTCATTTTTCGTTTTGTTGAAAATGTACATGCATTTTTTCTTTTAGCTTAAAAAGCGTATCAAAACTCTTATACTTAATCACTAGATTTCAGTGTATAACAACGGATTAATGTGCTGTTTGTCCACATTTCCACTAAGCTTTTTAAAAATTTTAAAGTGGAGTGGTTTTTGTTTAACAAAGTAATAGAGCTTTAAATTATATCAATGCAGGAATGCGAAAAATGTGCAATTCTTCCACTGGGATTTTAAGTGCAGATCTCTTGAATATGTATAAGATTCTAAATCTTATACAGAATTCTTCTGTCGCTCTGCCCAATTATCTGGATTGTTTGCCTGTAAGTGGACAAAGGCATGCGAAAAGAAGAGAGAAAATACCTAATATAGTTTACCACTTTTGTAATATCATCAAATACTTTTTGTAGTTCATTTTGACATTAATACTTTTTTGTGAATAAAACAGTGTGTGAAAATAACAATAGTATTCCCTCCCTTAGACAAGAGTAACAGAGCCTTTTACTGAGCTAACTATGGAAGTAGCACCATCCATACAACTGCCAATACAATTCTTCCAACAAAAATTTTCTCTTCCGTTATGCAAAAGAATATTTTTGAATTTCTCCATAATTAACAAATCTTACAAATGCTAGAACATAAAGTTGGTTGGTTGAATTTGTTGACTTGTTCACTTGAATTGAAAAACTACCATTTTCCAGTTTATTACACTCAACCTCTTCAACACCACGACATATCATTAATTCATTCAATTGTTCAAAAGTGGAATATTTTCAATTTTCCTTACTGCATCTTCTCCCAATATTTTACCCATAATAATTTTATGTGCAGAGATTATCAGATTCTCACCAACTGTGTGACTTTTCCTTTTCTGTGCTATAATCTTTTGCTGCCAAGTAAGTTGCTTCCTGAGCCCTTTTACTAACTGTGGATATGTTTACAAAAGATGTATTCTGTTTATTTTGAGATTTTAACAGAGTTTTAAAATAATCAACAGTGTTCAATCTCGTTGGAGCCATAGCTATATTGAAAAGTTCCCCCCCCCCCACACACAAATAAGACACAGTGAAAGAGGATATTCTGGACTACCAGTACATGTCAAGCCCACTGAAAAATAACTTTTATAGTAATGATGAAGGTCGTGACTATTTTTATAGTAATCATTCTTTTGAAATTTTGTAGAAGATTCTAAATCTCATACAGAATTTTTCTGCTCTGCAGAATTACCTGGATTGTTTGTCTTTAAGTATCGCAACATTTTACCATTCAAATCAACAGAACTAGTCGATTTCATTGACCATTCAAATCTACAGAAGCGTTAAAAAATGAGGAAAAAACCAGACAAAATACTAATAAAGCGATAAAATAAAAAATATGCACTAGTACTATGTTTAAACAACCACATGATCTTACACTTCTTTCATCCCCAATGCATACATAGTCACACTAGATTCTAGTTCGTGAAAACTGAAAAGCTGACTTTTGACTGTTTAACTGTGCTCGATTAGACTCGTGTTGTATACATAGCCTTAAAATGCCAATGTCAAGCTTAACGAAAATTTCTACAGAATAAATTTATCTCCTTTAAAATCCATTAAAAAAAATCCCCCCCCCAAATGATTTGGTTATGCATGTAACAAAGAAATTCATACAACTGTTGACAACATCTGACAGCTGAGCATAACCGAAGAACAAAAGGCTTGGTCTTTTTCAAGCAACAGAAGAACTTTCAACAAACAGATTTCTGAATTAAAAATACTTTATTAATTTAATTTGAAATTTTAAATAACCATGTCATTGAAAAAACCCATGTCATTGAAATTGTGTTTTGCACTGAATCTCTGTTAATTCCATTTTGTAAATGGGAGAGCACATTCTCAACGTCGATTGTGAAAATACTTTTGTAAAGACTGTATCAAGGGTCTTTTTAACACCAGAAGTTTTATGGATACCTCTATATTGAGTAGAATTCTAATTTTTATTAATATATTATGATTATACATTTTTCTATTTGGTGTTGAAGAGGTTGAGTGTAATAAACTGGAAAATGGTAATTTTGATTCCAAAGACAGCACGTCAAACTTAACACTTCAAGTGAGGCAAATAGTCATCAGTGTGTAATACTTAAATCACAAGGCCCAGGGGGTATTGAATCATTTCCATCTTTAATGATGTATTTAAAAAGTGAACAACTACATAAAGTCTTATCTAATAGTTTCCCCAAAACAGAAGGAACATAAGGAAATCCCGACAGTAGTTCAATACCTATTGTTCCTTTCTTTTTTTTCCCTGAAACCAACTTCCAAAGTCTGGAAAAAGGCATTAGTGATTTTGAGAAAAGAGGTCAGATTCATTTCTGTTAACCTGTATCTCTTTGGAACTTGTTCCTCTGCACACTGTTTCGTGAGAAAGTTGTTCCCAATGATATGTACTATCAAACATGGAAATCACAAGTAATTCCAAATCTGTGCTGTCTTGGAACCACACAAGAAAATATTTGTAAAATTTGGGAAAACCCATGTCATTGAAATTGTGTTTTGCACTGAATCTCTGTTAATTCCATTTTGTAAATGGGAGAGCACATTCTCAACGTCGATTGTGAAAATACTTTTGTAAAGACTGTATCAAGGGTCTTTTTAACACCAGAAGTTTTATGGATACCTCTATATTGAGTAGAATTCTAATTTTTATTAATATATTATGATTATACATTTTTCTATTTCTTCAGGCTGTTGAAAATTAATCAAAGGCAGCATGTGGCCTACAAATTTGCCATGGATGTTGTAAACTAACAAAACTATATGAGAATAGCAATAACATATTTCTAACATTTGAAAACTCATAAATTAATTGGATAAAAATTCTTTCAGCACAGCATTTTTAGCAAAATTATAAATTAAAGAACTTTACTAAATGCCAGAAGAATATCAATAAATGACATTTACAGGGAAAAAAAATCAACATCGAATTACTCTAATTTATTTAATTTTGAATAAGGTACTTACGCCAAGTTTTGTCATACAGAAGTCAAACTTCTTGAATCTTATTTTTTATAATGAGTATAAAATTTTCTTAAATGTATGTATAGAGATCAAAGGGGTGCAAAAAATGTTAGACTTCAAAATTTATTTAATTTGTTTTTAATTTGAAAATATCAAAACATTAATATTAGTATCATTTAAAACATTTTTGTTACTGGAAGTAACTGTCTAAGTATGCAAAGGATTGAAAATAAAGGCTAGGTTAGGACTTTAGTAGACACAGAGTTATGTCATTTTTTGTTGCATTACAAAATCGAACTCCTACAATTTGCAAATGGTTACTCCATTCTTGAATTTCAAATTTTCAGATTAAAAGTCAATAAGCCCACACAATCCCAGGTGAAGCACACTCTGCAGTAATTAGCAGCAGTCCTGAAAATGTCAGATGTCCAAATTTTAAAGCAGAGGAAAAGGAGACTTATTAGGCTCATATCACATGTCTTTTGTTTCACATGAACAACTGTTTCAAACAATTTTTATGCCTGGTTTACTATTGAAAGAAAGACATGCAACTTTTTCCTTCCTTTCAAAAAAAAAAAAAAAAAAAAAAAAAAAAACTGCAAGTTGTTTGTCAGCTATCAGCTTGTTTGTAATGAGGGAACCAGTTAACCCCAAAGCGATCTATGGTGATTGGCTGTTGTGACAAAGCAGAAAAATTGTTCCAAACAGTTGTTCTTCCAAAACAAACCAACATGTGATAGCAGCCTTATTGTGCTATACAACCTAACTATACAACCATACCTTACTGTGCTTCCACACTGTGCATACAATTATTTCAAATAACATAGACATAATAAAAACATATACTTTAAAACAATAATTTATTTTTTTTCTATTACATATGTAATCAAAGCTTCCTATCATGCAAGAAAATGGAAAATGAGTTTAAAGCATTAAAAAGAGAGAGTACTGACATCACTCACACTTAGTCTTAACAACTAATATTTATCTATTTTTCATAATTTCTGAATATGTGCTTTGACTTATAATGCTGAAAAGAAAAGGAATAAAAGGGAAGGAAAGAGGAATAATGATTAAAGGGAACGCACATGCATTTTCAGTAATGAAGAGCACTTGTCAATGCATTCATCCAGATAACTGGAACTCCATAAAACGCGGATTATTTGGCAAAGATTTACAATACTCTCATCTCTTGCGACTAACAGGAGAATATGAACTTGACCTGAATGAGAAAAAAAAAAAGGATAACTGTTAAAATATATATATGGTAAAAAAATATCTGTAAACAAAACAAAAAAATAACACATAAGTGAACATTTTGCATTATACACGTATTGTGATTTTGAAGGGATTTATATATTTCATAATACCAAGAAAACAATTTTTAGTCCCCTTCAGAGGAAAAAATATACAGCATTTTAAAAAATCTAATATAGCCAAATAATGAAAATAGGCATCCATGTTGTGAAAATCTCCGAAAAAATGTTTCTGAGATTCCCTCCCACTTAGAAATGCAGATATTTCTTTTAACTGCACAAAGTTCTTTAATTTAAATTTTAATAGATTCATTAACATTCTTTGCAAATACACTTACACGACATGAAAAGACAGGCACAATTATATTCATATGACAAATTTTTTACAATTGGCGATATAAAACTTATTTTTTTCTTCAGGAGAAAATTATCACGCCTAAAGAATAGAGATCAGATTATCACTCAAAATACATTTAACCTGTTATTTGAAATATAAAAACCAAATTTTACAATTATTAAAAATATCACAAATTCCTTTAACCACTTGGAGATTTCCAATAGCATATTAAGTTAAGTACTTATATATTAACCCAACCAGGCCAAAATTCGCATAAATCGCCAAATTTGGCGACCCTTCTTACGGCAACCCTACGTGTTATACGTAGTTTTTCGTAAATACGAGGAGTTCGAAAATGCTGGATTTCTGCATGGAACTATTAATCACAAATATAACTTTGTGGATCCCAACACGGGCATTCACACACAACATGTAGAGCGCATGTGGGGCTCAGCCAAATGGCGCAATAAAAAACAGAGAGGAACAGCCCGTCATCATCTTGACTCATACCTTATCGAATTTATATGGCGCCAAGCTCAAGCTGTTAATGGCGAAGACGTTTTTCAATCAGTGCTAAAAAGCAATAGCCAAAAGATTTCCGCCGAAAAAATATTCTGCAACTTATTCAAATTCGAAACCGGAAAGGTTTAATTGCTATTTATATTTTAAAACAAATAATATAAAAAACTGTATTAAAAATTATCTGTAATTAATAAATGTACATTTTCCTTCTATTCATACTTTTTTACTCAAACTTACAAATCGCGCCAACCTGGTTGCGATAATACGTAAGTACCATAAGTTATCATACAGTTGATTTAAATTTTGATAAATCATGATAATTTAATAAAAATTTAAGCCAATCATTAAAACACTTTAATGGAAAAAACTCCAGAGTAACAGAACTCCAATTACTCACCCTTTTTCAAACTATGTAAAATTAAGCTTGTTAATTTATTTATGCATTTTAAATTTTTTGTTGACTTCAATAACTAGAAAGATAATGTTACTTATTTTTAATAATTAAATTAATTTAAACGAATATGCAGGCTAGACTTCTTCAGAAAACAGTAGCCTCTAAATATTACTTGGAAAAGAAGGTATGCAGAAAAAATTAATATTATGTAATTTAAGTACTGTAAAAATGAAAAAAAAAAATGTTTAGTTTTACTGTTTCTACGAAAAGAGAAATTAAATTTATTATTTTGTTCTAAATGAACATATCGGGATATCCAAAAACAATTAGAATGAAAAAAATGAAAACACAGTATGCCTCTAATCTATGTTAGCTTAAGATTTCATACGCTAATTTGTGAAGAGGCATTAATAGGAGAGGATTGGTTTCTCCTTGGCGAAGATATGCATATTTTTTAAAGGACAACTTCTGCTAAAACTGCTGCTGCTAGATAAGGCTTTAAATACAATGTTTTGAGTAAATCACAAATATACAAGTTTTTTTTTTTTTTTTTTTTTTTTGGGATTTCAAAATTATGACATGTCATACAAAGACTGCTGGAATATGGTATCCATAACCAAGCATAAATGAGGGAAACAATGAAGATCATTGAAAGACCATTAATCAGATTTCTAGAGGAAAAAATCTGAAAGGTTTTAGAATTTAACAGGCTTTCAAAAGGGTTTGCTAAGGTTTTTACACTCTCGTTCAGCATGCAGTCTACCAGTCTGCTGTTACACTCACTCCATTTCTTTATTTTTGGGGAGGGGGGGGGGTTTAAACTTTATTATTATGTATCAATTTTTTCACACTTATACCATATACAACAGCAAAATTATACAAATATTTAAAAGCAGCATAGCAGTATATGTTTAGAATTCCTGATGCAGTGCTAAGTGTTGATATATAATTTTCTGTTTTTTTCCAGTCTTCCCTCAGTTCATCATATCAGTGTTCAGTTTTCTTAGGCTTTACAAAACTTTTGTCTGTTTATTATTATTGTTTTGTGAGTTTGCTTTAGTTATTAAATATCACATTCTTAGTGCTTATGCCATATAAAATTTGATTCAACAGCAAAATCACAAAATATTTAAAAATAGTATATTTTTAGACAGGGTTCGTACACATTTCTGCACATTAAAATTAAGTACTTTTAAGGGCTTTTAAGGACCATTAATGAAAAAAATTAAGGACCTATCAGCCAATAGAAGCTAAAAAAATTCAATTCAATCAGGTTGTATCTGAATTTCACTTTTGTAATAACATTCTAAGAATAAAATAGATCCGTAAGCAGGATGCATTCTTATTAAACATAACTTTAAAACTAATTTGAGAATGAAATCCACATTATAAAATTTATCAAATAGTATTAAATATTTTACACGTATAATAGTTGGACATATTTGAAAGAAGATTGGGGAGATTTCATTTACATTTTATTAACAGCTTTATGCTGATTTTTTCTTTTATGTCTCATTTTGCCATATACTTATTCAGTCTAGAGGTTTAGTAATTAGCAGGTAAATTTTATGTCAAATGGCAAAATGGCATAGGTTAAAATGAGAAATAAAATCATAATCAGTATGATCTGTAACAGAAGATTAGCTGTTGCTAGCCAAGAGAGAGACCTGTTGATCAGAAAAAAACCTGAAAGCCTGTTGTAGGTAAGGTATTTCTCCCGCATTTCTTGGCATGTCTTCGTGATGTGGTGTTCTGCACACTCGGCTCGTATTTGACAGTTCCGTGGTTTGATTCCTGGGGAAGGCTTTGCATATTTTTCATCTTCAAAAAATACCTAATGTCTCTGCAGAGACGCCCAAACTAAAAGGATGGTGGATAATGATTCTCCTCACCCAGGATTTGGCGACTGGGTTCCCTAAAACCCCAGTCGCCTTTTAAAAGGGGGTGTATATAAGGAATTTCTCCCGCCTTCTTGGTGTGGTGGTCTGCAGACTGGGCATGTATTTCAGAGGTCCGCAGTTCAATTCTCGGTGAAGGCGCTTGTTCATTTTTCATTTGTTCCTGTTTAAAAAAAAAATTCTAATGTCTCTACAAGTGTTGTACCTTCATATACAGTTTCTGGGATTCCAACTTGGTTAATCTATTTTAAGGTTCCAATAAGCCACTAATATAGCAGAGGTGATAAGTTGTTTTGTATTATTTTAAGTCTCCCTAGATGCAAAGAATAAGTTTATAATAGTTTTTACATTTTCGTACGTTATCTTGTGGCCACAGTAATGATTAATGAAAAGCAATAACTTGCTTTAATACGCATAGATAACTTTTAAAGATGAGCAGTTAGTTATAAATAATTAAATTAGGTAATTAAATACCCTCAGTCGTTATAGATTTACATGGCCATTATTAAAATCACAATCTAATAACATTTTACAGTTTAAAATACATGCAATTTATGACACTGATTCTTAAACAGTATTAGGATAATTACACATTAAAAGTTACAAAACAAAATAGTTATGTGTCGTTTTAATTCGAAGTGTTCCTAGACATTTTGGCTAATTTATATAAATTTTCTTCTCTTTAAACATATTTTCTAACAATTAGAAATCTGTTTCAGTACACAAACTAGTGTTCCCACTAGTTTCTGCGTGCTTTATCTCCTAACTTGTAGTCTCTCAACAGTGTACCTAACGAGGTTTTACGTGATCTGGTAAAAGTTAAATAATCCAAAACCTCTGATAGACATGAAGCAAATTATCATTATGTCTATAGGAAACTACAGCGTCACATAAAGATTCAAATATACCTCTTATTTAAAAAGACTATGGAACATACAGGCACGTTCTTATGTTATGTTGACAAAATAAACTACAGCTTTTGGTGATGCAAGTAAACAGGAACAGCCAAATTCAAACAAAAAATGTGGACTAGTATTCAAAGACTACGCAATTTAAATTTAATCTAAGGTGACTCAGTAACTTTATTGTAGTAACAAATTCAAATATTAGCAATGATTCAAATATTAGCAAAGATGAATAATTACAAATTATCAGATGTAGCAGGAACTAAGGCAACATCCAAGTGGAGAGCAAAAACTTTCTGTCTTACAATCCAAAAATCTCAGAAAACTATCTGATTTGCATTATGGTGTGGAAACGGAAAGCTATAGTAAACGCTAAAATTCTAAACAACTGATTAATTTGCATATGTATTCAGTTTCTTTCGATATGTTTCCTCTGCACTTCAGAATTTTTGGAATTAAAGATTTCTGTTATTCTAAAAAACAAATTCATTTAGAATATAAAGGAAAAGCTGCTAATTTTATTTCTTTAGTAATATGAACATTCAGAATAAATATGAAATTCTATGTGGTAAGGATTGGTTTGAGTCGATGAGGCAGAATTTTTAGATTTTAGTGACACGCCGAGCAACAAAATCTAGAAATGGCAAAACATTTTAGAATTTAGGACAGGGAGTAATAGCAGAATTTAGGAGAGCATTAAGCAGCAGAATTTAAGAACCACAGAGATTTCATCAGGTGGGAAAAAGCCCAGCGCCAGCCCTGTGTATGATTGATTGAGATGTATAATGTGAATCTTTTAAATTGTCAGTTTTCAATTTCTTTATTAATAAAAAAATTATTTTTTTTATAAATGACTGTCCAGGCGAAAAGATTAGAAACATTTTTGGTATTTTCAATGCCTGTGTCTAGTGAAAAGTTGAGAGGCGAAAAAGATTAGAAACATTTTTGGTATTTCGATGGCTTGTGTCTAGTGAAAAGTTGAGAAAATAAAGAGAAGATAAAACAGTTTAAAAAGAGACTTCTAGCATCAGAAGTACAACATTCAAACATTATATTTTCAGTGTCCTTCCAAAAATTCTTCACAATGTATGAAATTCATCATAAAATTTCTGTAAAATACATCCATTATGCGTTAATACAATGAAGATATTATTTATTTTGTCACATTTTAATGGAGCCTTCTAGAATTGTGGGTCTGTAAATCTTGCCTTCAAATCCTTCTAAACTTTCCAAGTTGCAATGTCTAAAATCCTAAAGTAAAAATTAGCCCTACCAATTCTGTAATAGAAAAAAGGCCAGAAATAGTTTGAAAAAAAAATCAGTGGAAAAAAGTGTGAAATTAATTTTATAGAGAAAACTGATGCATATTCTAATAATTCTGAAACAATTACATGGGAAAACTTTTTACCATGAAAAAATTGAAAGGAAGAAATTTTTAATTATTTACATAGCTATTTTGCTTTTGCTATGAATTGTTTTGTAAACTGTGCTTAATAACATTTATTATCTTGTTTATTTTTCATATTCCAAATACAGTATAATAAACAGCCAAAACGGAAAGTAATGTCTCTTCATTATACGAGAGAAAAAAAAAAATAAATAAATGTTGTATTTTAACGTTATTTCCTAAATATAATTTCAATATACTACCATTAATTTAGTTAAATTTATCAAAGTTATAATGTTTTTTAAAAAAATCGATGAACAATTCCCAGATCTCCGAATTAAAAATTTTCTATAGAAAGTAATATTAAAATCGCCGAAATGCTGATAAGTCACTAAATTTTGAGCCGTTTTATAAAAGAATTCACATCCACAAAAGTGGAAAGTTGTTTAAGAGCTTTTCATTAGAAAAAAGTGAAAAAATTTTGAAATCCTTATGTTTCACTTCTTGCTCAGAAACTCCAAGTACCCAACCCTTTCTATTAGAAATAGGAACAAATTATAACCCATGAACTCATTCAAAAGATAATCATATTTGTCAGTGAATCGCCAAAAATATTCCTCCAAAATGGTAATTCACACTCAAAATAGCAGTTGTAAAAACAAGAGCGAAATTTCAGATGATTAAAATTAAGGACCTTCTGACGATTCTGGCCGAAATTAAGGACTTTTAAGCACCAAAAATTGATTTAAAAAAAATTAAGGCCTTTTAAGGACTCTTAAGGACCGTACGAACCCTGTTAGAATTTGCGGTAGACGGTCTTGTGCACTGGAGATAAAAATGTTTTATTTCATACATTACTGACACTGCTCACTTTGAAATTGCTGAGTTTGTTAATCAAAAATTCATTAAAGTTTTACAAAATATGAAATAGCTAATAAAATTAATTCAAAATTCGAGCTTGCAGGTGCCTATGTTCGTGTGGAGGGCTACATTATTCAAAATTAAATGGTTCTAAGTACCTTCGTTTTTTCACAATATGAGAAACATGCATACCTTCCTTCATACAGATTTCTTTAAATATAATACACAGTGATAATATCTGGTGGCAACAATTTCAAAAGTTATACGTCATTTATTGTGATTCAACACAAAATACCATTTCGAGACTAACATCCCATTCGGGGCAAATGTCACTTTTGGGCTGTGCATCTAACGAATATCAAGTGAACAACATCATGACTGTATGACACCCACACTATCCACTGCTTTCATTCAGAGCGACTTTTTCCGTTTCCACAGACAACGAAAACTCTCAAATGGATGCAATTCAACAATATGATTAAGGTGCAAGAAAATATGTCACATACTTTGAATATTTCAAGCGAAGAGTTCCAAAAACTGCTTTATGTTATAAGCAAAAAGCAAAATATTGAATAAGTACATTAGTGCTAGAGCAGAAAATTGCTTAAAAATAACTGTGTTAATTTTTGCATACCTTCTTGTATATCATACTTAGACAAATAAAAAAAAATATTTTTTAATTAGTTTGTAAAAATTATTTTATATTTTATTTTATGGGAGAAAAATATTTTACTTTTTACCTATATACACTTCAACACTTTACTGAAACAAAATGGTAAGCAAAAAAATTTTCTCTATTACTAACATGGTAAATAAGTATTTGACCTATAGTAAAATGACAAGTCAATTATTAAGGTTTCTGAAGATCCTGGCAAGCACTTAAGAACAGATATTTAAAGTTTTATTGTATACAGATCCCTTAAAAAATAAGCAAGAAGACATATCTGAATTCATATATTTTATATACGAATTGTCCTCTAATGTTTTCATGAAACGGAAAAAGAACAATTAGTTGAACAAACCTCTCCCTAGATCTTGACCTTGAAGATGGACTGCGAGACCTACTACTACTGGATGATTCTTTTTTAACTCGTTTCTTAATTTCAGGAGACCAGATCTGAAAGCAAGTATCCATTCAAAATAGTTAATGGAATAGCAATTTATTACTTTTATACTAAAATTTTATTACATCAGTAAAACACTTATTCAAAGTAATATTTTTATGTAAATTTTAAAATAAAATTATCCATTAATTGCATATAATGCAAACGACTGATACAAATTAAAATCTAATACACAATTTTCAAAACATAAAGCCAAAATAAAATAAACAAGATTAAAAAAGAGGGGGTGCCTTTAATTCCAAATTACAAAGTGTGTACTACTGAGAAAACTAGTTTTTTCTCTTTTAAATTTAAAATTTTAAAATATATGCTTATGTGAAACTAGGTTAAAAAAATAGAGAGACAGAGTAAAATATCTACTTTAATCTTCTGCATTGAAAAGAGGAAAGGTTATTGAAAACTAGCACATTATGCATGTGCTAATTTTCAATTAATAATTAGTCACCAAATTTACAACCATTTAATAAAAGAATTCACATCTCCAAAAGCAGAAAGTTGTTTGAGAGCTTTTCATTACAAAAAAAATGAAATAATTTCAAAATACGTATGTTTCATTTCTCGCTCAACTCGAGTATCCCACCATTTATACTACAAATAGGAACAAACTACAATCCGTGAATCCATTAAAAAAAAAAAAAAAAAAAAAAAAAAAAAAAAAAAAAACCATATTTGTCGGTGAATCGCCAAAACTATTCCTGTAAAATGCTAATTCACATTCAAAATGGGAATAGTAAAAAAGGACAGAAATTTCAGATGATTAAAATTAAGGACCTTCTGCCGGTTTTGGCCGAAATTAAGAACCAAAAATAGATTCCAAAAAACTTAAGGACTTTTAAGGACCGTACAAACCCTGTTTAATGATGAAATTTTAGTTCAAAATAGAGAAAATAAATAATAATAAGCCATATTTATTATATCTGCTTGGCACCTAAAAATAAATATAATTTAATTAATTTAATTTAAATCAAAATTCTGAACATTTTCTAAATTTTTATTGTATAACAGTTTTCTCTTAACGGATATTGCAAGCAAAGTAATTTAAGTAAAAAAAGCAACTTTTCTGAAATCAGAAGATGGGAAATTGCTTCATGCAGTCATACTTTGACAGTAAAAGTTTAACTAACCGGCATACTCGGAAATTGCCGAATATCTGAAAATTCCAGATAGTCGAGCATAACTGGTAAAAGAGGGAGTAGATTGTAATCATTCTTTAGATTTTTCAGCTAAATAATGCTTTTGATATTTCGATATGTGCATGATATAAAAAACAGCCCAATGGAACTGAAAAATAATCTGCTTAGCAAGCACAGTGAAGCTCTTTTATCTTTGTGAAATATCGCAAACTTTATTGTGCAATACATGCGCCTTAATTCTTCCGCATGTGACATTACGCAATCAGAATCAACAGCTGCCGGTATTCAGAGAATAAATAACTAAATAAAGGAAAATGCCCCTTTGCTTCGTTCGGTTTTCACCGTGATACGGCAATATCATTAAGCAGGATGCATCACGCTCCGCGCGATATCCCTACCATACTCATATTGATTAATAAAGATTTACTAATCTGAGGTGTTTTTCATTCTAATTTTGAACAGACTGCGTTAAATTTCTGGAATAGAATCATTCTTCGCTTGGATTGGTAGACCGCAGAACTTTTAGTTCAATCCAGGTTGGAAAGTGACAAAGAAAAAAAAAAGTCTGTTGCTTGCTTTGCTGCAAATTGTAACGGTATCAATATTCGAGATTTTATGGTGAAAGGGGAGAACCCAAAAACTTCCGTACTGTATTAATGCATTCGGAAAAAAAAAACTTTTTTTTTGACTATTTGATTACTTTTACTTTATTTATGCCATTCCGAGTATTATTCCTTAGAAAACTAATCTGTGTTAAAACACACTCATTTCTGAAGTTTATCTATACTTCAGCAATTACTGCAAATATATTATCATAAATATCCATACATATGCTCATAATATAAGCATACCAATCATAATAAACTAACCACGTGGAATGAGAATGTAAATTATTAAAATCTTGACAGAAATTTAAACATGTGTAATATTGTGTTGGAGCAAAAGAATACGGAATGCGCTGGAATTTTCTACTGATTTCGCAATTCTTTGACCAATACAACGACATGCACCTGTCTGTACTCGCATGCACCAAAGGTTATGTTAATGCAGAGAAAGGGACAAAAAGCTATTTCTGGGAGTATGATTCACCATCTGATGTTCCATATAAGGAAGAAAAGTTGTTTATTTAATTTCGGCTTTGGTACAAGAAAAAAATGTGCGTTCATTAAAAAGCACTTAAAACAGAAAATAAGCACTTAAAAAAAAAGTGCTTTAGAGAAAAAGGAAACACCTATAATGGCTTTTATATTTTATTTTCAAATATAAGGATTTATAAGCCCTTATAAGCACTACGAACCCTGACGTACAGCTTGTCTCCTCTACACAGCTCATTTTCAAGTAGTATGTTTTTTGGTTTCTTTGAAGCCTTAATATTTCTTAACAGTAGAGAATTGGGAAGTAACAGACTTAATGACAAAGTTCAAGCAGCTCATGCATTAGACCAAAGCTCAGTTTTATTCCTTATGAAAATATTCCACTCAAGTGATAAAATTCAAAAGAACATGCAGAGGTACTAATCAACTAAACTAAAAAATTAAGAGTTTAAGAAAAGAATGTTTCAATCTCATTTTTTTTTAAATGGTAAAAATAAACTGACAAAAGCAATTAATTTAAAACAGCTTTTAATTAACATTTAAAAACATAATTAATTCTTAAATTCAAACAGTTAAAGAATACTTACATATAAAAAAGTATATTTTAAAACTTGCCTATTTTAAAAAAAAAAATAAGACTTCAATTAACTTTTCTACAATTGCTAACAACAAATTTTGCTAAGTAACCTTGGGGATTTTGTCCACAACAGTTGCCATGTAAGACCACTTTTGCAGAGAAAATTTGCTATATGCTTTTGTAAACATTAGCTCATTTACTATGCAAAATCAAACAGGTACAAACATTACACAATGAAAATGCATTACATTTCCTTGAAAAATAATACAAAAAAGTAATTCATATTCATGTTTGATTTTTGAAAAGTAAATAAGTATTTTTCTCTTTTCACAAACACAGTTGGCAAAAAAAGGCCGGGCCGGGGGGGGGGCAAATTCTTAAGCCATTTCTGAAAAATTACACCAGTTAGTAAAAAAGGCTTAAAAAAGGGACACAAAGACCTAAATCTTTCACTCAGTGGCACTGCTTGAATATGATTTTTAAGACATCATAACTCCTACAAACAGAGCAGTAGTGTGCAATCTTACTATCCAAATGGCCTTCCTTCTCTTTTACAGACAATCTAAAAAGCTAAGTAATTTCAGACCCTACTTTTTTTTTTTCCGGAGGGGGTTAGAGATAATAAACCAAGGCTGCATAAAATTCATGAAGAATTTAAGAAACAACAACAACAACAACAAAAAAAAAAAAAAAAAAAAAAAAAAAGTAAGGGCAAATAAGCTTTAAATCAAACTGGAAGGAGTGTGGTTAAATATCATGCGTTTACAACCTAAAAAAAGCTGCCATCTCTGTGTATGGTAACACTTTAAATTCAAAATTTAAGCACATTTTCTTACAAGTTATTTTTCAGCAATATCAAAATACGCTGAGAAATGTAATACAAAGAGCAAATAAACTTTATGCTTATATATAGGAAAGCAGAAGAATAATGATATTGACCTTTCAACCATTACCACCCGCCCTTTTACCTGGACCTGGAGTAATGTCTTTTATTTTTGGACTTTGGCTTTTCAGAATCGGAACTAGAATGTGAAGATTTTGAAGATCGTGATGAACTGCTAGAAGATCTTGACCTAGACTGAGATGATTCAGATCTCGAAGATGCAGAAGAATGAGATCTGGAAGGTGATTTTTTATCCTTTTTGAGAGATTCTTCATTCTCATCATCACTCCAACCAGTTAAATCATACTTTGACAGGTCACCATCATCATCATCATCTTCCTCCTCCTCTTCTTCCTGAGATAGAAATATTTCAGAAACCATTAAACAATACTCTACTTTGTATGACAGAAATAAGTAAAAAAAATAATTTTCAAGACTAGTAAGGAAAAAAAAATCTGATGTGGACACCACACAACTTCCTTGTATGGCCTATTAAATTATACGCATTTCATGTAAACTTATTTCATTGGAGCTATATTTCTCATTCAGTTAATTCAGTTCTCACTTCCCAGCAAAGCAAAAATACGTAAAAATCAAAAAATCTTCATTAAAGATTTAAAAATATAGAGAAACATAAAACACCAAATACAGTTATAACAATTAAAAAAAATTTTTACAATTAAAATTAGAGTTTCTATGTGAAAGCAATTGATTCAGGCAGTGGGCAAGAAGACAGATTTTTCAGTGCAGAAAACTGAAAGTTTACTTTTGGTCCCACTCTGTAAAAAGACACTGAAGATGCACAAACTGACTTAATTTACTATTCTGCTATGTTTCAAATGTAAACGAATATGGCTGCTTAGCCACATTTGAACAACATTTAAATTATTCATAACTCTACAACTATTGCATAAAGATTAATTAAAGCATAAAAAGCTTAACCAGAATACAAGAACAACATAAAACCATTTTTAAAGCAAAAAATGCACAATTTACCAACATATAAGATTTAAAAAAAAAAAAAAAAAAAAAAAAAAACTAAGGTCACCTAACTGAGTAACAGGGTGGGTATAATATATATATATATATATATTTATTTAGTGTGGTCGATTGCAACCAAAAAGGGAGGTACACAACTACATGTTATAGGAGTCCTATAAACAAAATTTCAACGTTCTGAAGCCACTTATTTTTGAGTTATGCAGGTATATATATACATAAAACATCACGAAAAAATGTCTTCTAAATACATTTTGCAATCTGTTCTGTTTGGGGAAAAAGAGTCTTTTATTCCTTTCTTACGTACAGATGTCATGCAAAAACACTGTGAAATTACATTTGATATTGGTCAAAATGGCTTATTATCGTTGAAATATGATTTCTTTTACTTTGCACAAGGAAGTAAAAATGAAATAAATTATTATTTACTCTCTTAAAAATTTTCAGAACCTTTTACACTTTGAAAATTCAAAAGGTATAATTAGCTAAACTTTACTTTTAGAAACTATATTCAACCAATTACATATTTTTTACCTAAACTTAATTTTAATCAGCTTTCTGACACAGGAAATTAAGCATAAAGCAAAATGCGTGGATAATGAGACTTTCGATAAATTTTACTTTAGTTTTATAAAATAATTATATTTGCTACGCTTTATAACGATAGAAAATTATTATTTTACTGGTAAAGAAATTGCATAAGTAGAGACAATTTCAACGAATTTTACAACAGCCTAAAACAGAGGCTCTCGAACATTTTTCAGATTGTACTCACTGGTCAACACCTAAGCTGTAATTACTTCCATTAAGTTTTTGCAGTTCGGTTTCACCCATGGGAAAAAATACACACACGAATTTGTCAAGCAACACATATGCCATTGATAATTTGTTGCTCGGATAATAACTTTCCACCACAGCTTTCAACTACATGCAACAGTAAAAATGTAAGTTTCGTTACTTTGAAGTTCAAAGGAGCAATTTGCCCTGAAGGACTATTATTTTCGTTTTGGCATTTTGCGTTGGTTCACTATAAATGTCCGATTCACTTTTCAAATTATAACCACTAAATATTATCGCCCTGTATTACAGTTAAAGAAATTAAATAATGAAGAATCTGCATAAATGTTTCTCACATTGTGATAAAACAATGGTATATAGTGTTATCAAATTTTGAATAATGTACATTTCCACCCGAATATGGGCATCTGGAAGCCCAAATTTAGAATTTGTTTTATTATCTATTTCATATTTTGTAAAACTTAAATGAATTTTCACTTAACAAACTCAAAGATTTAAAAGCGAGCAATGGCAACACTCTACGGGAAGAAAGGGGGGAGCTTTTTTTTTACCTCCTGTGCACGGAACTGATACGCTCATTTTAAAATTATTTGTGATATTGCGGTTGAACTGAATTTTATGGTTTAAGTCCGAAGAACATGATATTTAATAAATAAATAAAGCTAACACACAAAACATTACAAAAAATCATCCGTTTGGATGTTATTTAAAATCTGAAACCTTTCAGATTTAAATTTTTATTATTTATTTTTAAATCAACTTGTGTAATATGCAGATCTTTTGCAATTCAAGTTTTCTGAATTACTTTGTTGTTTGTTTTCAGTTTTGATATTTACTTTAAAAATTTTACTTTTTTACTTCTTCCTCCCCAAAAAATTATTGGCAAGATTATGTTACAAAGGGAAAAAGGTTGCGAGTTTGAACTTTACCCGTAATTTCTATATATCTCTCATTTAGGATCCTGACTACGGATCAAGGAGATTTCAGGTTTCCCCACGTTATAAAGGAAGGACACACCTATTCCACTGCAGCCATATAATTGCTTTACCTAAAACTGCTTAAGCCTGTTCCTGAATACCTGAAAAGTGGCCTCTATAGCATTGCTATCAATCTGTTTGTTTAAAAATAACATTATGCCCACAGAACTCACTTCTGCCTTGGATATTTCCACATGTTTCCATAACTTTACTGCACTCTGATTTAGCGCCTTATGCCAATGAACCTCTTAATCTGTAAAATGTTTCCTATCCGCTTTTTGCTTGTGTTTTATTTATGTTTAAAAATACAAAATACCCCCAAAAATTAAAAAAATTAAAAATCAAAACTTTGTTTTCCCTTTATCCCTAAGCGGACTACTGTGCATCATGATCCTACTGTGCATCATGATAACTAGTTATGCATTTTTCCTATTTCTGCTCACTAATTAGCTATTTCTCTGATGTGAAGGTACACGGTTTTTAACCATAGGCACTCCGTAAATATAAATAACTGGCATTGGCCAGTCAGTATGTCCAGAATGCCCCCTAAGACTAGATTTTAAATTTATTGACAATTAATTTTGCAAATTACTGAAGCCCATTTTAATGTACTGAAAAAACTTATACATGTATTAAATCATTTCATGTGCAACAAACTTCTGATGAATTTTACTTTCTATCCTAAACTTATCTCATTAAAAATCATTACAACCAGTTCAAATAGAAACATAATAAAACTATACAGAAAATTATCAATTTTTTTGGAGAAGAATTTATTAAAACCTAACAGAAAATTAAAATTTTTAATCCTCATTCCAGGATCATCTACATGGTTTGATGTAAATTCTCTGTAGCCTGTAATAATACAATAAAGGAAAAAAAAAAAAAAAAAAAAAAAAAAAAAAAAAAAAAAAAGGTAGTCTTTAACTGGAAATAAAAACTTGATAACAATGATGAATTCTGATGAATCATCAATCCTCTTAACATTTATTGAATCTTTTTAAACTTTTTTGTGTATTGGAAGTCTGCTATGTACCTCAGGAGGTAAGTACACCAGATTTTGAAAATCATTGATTTAAAACAGAATAGGAACTTAAATAAACATTTGTACTTGCTCTGTTATAGAGAATTCCTATAACTAAATGAAAATTCTGAATTTACTAACAAAGAATTTTCTACAGAATATACTTTGACGAATTTTAACATAGTCTAATGATAATTTATAGGGTAAAAATTATGTAAACATTTATATTTGCTTTATATAATAATTACTTCTAAAGAGAATTTTTATTACTGTTACTTAATGATGGAAAATTATAATTTAACTAGTGTTACTATAAAATTCTTACCAAATAACAATAAGCCAGTATTGTTATTTGGTAAGCAAACAAATAGTTTAGCAATAAGGTCCGATAGCATTATACAAATAAACTCACTAATAAAGTCATTTATAAATTTATTTTACCTCATCATCAATTTTGTATTTAGATACATCTTTCTCTTTTAATTTTTCTTCCTTTTCTACTTTTTTTGCAGGCTTTTCATCATTACCTCGATATTTTTTCTTCTTTCTTCCAAACTAAAAAAATAATCAAAAATAAAAGAAAAATAATAATACTACAGAATTCTTATCATATATACAGCTTTTTACCTTTACAAAATACAAAAATTACTAGGTAACACATTTACTAAGAACTAACTATAATAGTCTAGGCACAAAAATATACATATACACATAAAAAAATTATTCTATTGTGATGAAACTTTAAAAGAACTGCAAAAAGGCAAATATGAAAAGTAATTAAAATTTGATATCAATTAAACCAATTATTAAGCAAATGCAAGTCCAGAATTATTACATGCACGTACAATATACCTGCCGATATTTAACCAGGTATGGCTTGATACAAATATCAAACAGAGTGGAATTCACTGGCCAGTACTCTGTAATTATGTAATGGGCCATCAACATTAGATCGTGCTGAGAAGTATTTCCTACGAAGCCTATTAGATCGTGCTGAGAAGCCTATCTGACGTACCTGGATATCATCCTCGTCATTGGTAAAAGTTTTGAAGAGCATTTAGAAAATATTAAGAAAGTACTTCAGAAACTGAAATAAGCCAATTTAAAGTTAAGTTGTGCCAAATGTAAACTGTGATATCTGCTGAATGTGTGTTTAATATCAAGAAAAAGTGTTGGCAATTACAGACTCAGAAAATGTTCATCAGCTGAGAACTTTCCTGAGGCTTCGCACCTACTACAGGATATTTGTGAAGGACTTTTCTTTCATCAGGAGACCCTTCCAAACTGACAGAGAGCAAGCAAAAGTTCTTGTGTACAAAAGAATGTGAGGATGCATTTAATAAAGCCAAGGAGATTTTAATGTCTGTGACAATTCTCAGCTTGACAAAACATTTATTTTTGAAATGGACACAAAAAATGAGAGTATCGGTGCTGTTTTGTGTCAAATAAACAGTCAAAAACATGATATAGCAATATTGAAGCAAATGTTTATCTAAATCAAACATAATGACTGTGTCACCAGAAAAGAGCTGCTAGCCACAGTTAAAGCCGTAAAATATTTCCACCATTACCTATATTGCAGAAAATTCCTGTAAAGCACAGATCATGCATTGTTGACTTGGCTCTCAATTTAAAAAATCCTGAAGGCCAAAATAGCCAGATGAATACAGAGACCACTATCCATCATCAGAAAGGATCATCACATGGAAATGTCTATGCCCTGTCTTAGAAGACCATGCACAGAAAGCCACCAATATTGTTAAAGGATCAAAAAGAAATATGAGCTGGTTAATCTAGTTGCACACCAAGTTACAGCTTCAACATCATCTGCCCCAGACCCATGAATCAATAAAGAAGTCAGGAAAGACCAGTTGTAAGATGGCGATACTAAACCCATAACTGACCTAATGGTATCTTCCGATAAGAAACCTAATTGGCAGGATATTTCGATCTATAGTCCTATGACAAAATAATAGTGAGCTATCTGGGACTCACTCCATATTCAAAACAGTGTCATGTAATGTAAGTTCAGACTGGATGATGGAAAGGCATTCCGATTTAAGCTGATACTTTCAAGATTCCGCATGTCGTTAAAGAACCTAACAGCAGTCCAGTAGGAATTTACTTCGGAATTATGAAGTCTCTGCATAGAGTTTGAGAGCACTTCTATTGGAGTAAAGTTGATGATGTGCAAAAGTGGTGCCAATGCTTCTGCAGGTCGGAAAGGACTGAAGAAACAAGCTGACAGAAGCTGCAACTTTACAATGTAGGAATGCCTTTTGAACACATGATCTTTGACATTCTGGGATCTTCGCAATGAACTGCTGATGGCAACAAACACATCTTCATTGTCATCAACTACTTTACAAAGTGAAGTGAAGTCTGTCTTATGTCTGATCAAGAAGCTGTCATGGTAGCAGCGGTAATGATACAGTATGGGATTTCTAGGTTTAGAGTGAATCTACAGTTATACTCCAATCAAGGAAGGAAGTTTATCATGGCTGTAATTAAAGAATTCTGTGTACTCAGCACAGACAAAACCGAAACCATATCTTTTCATCCATAGTCAGACGGCATATTAGAGATGTTTAATTGAACCATCCTTAATAACTTGTCACTGATGGTTTCTAGAAACCAACATGACTGGGAATGGAAATTACCTCTGTTCTTAATGACCTACCACAGCAAGTCCACGAGACTGCGAATTATTCCACATCCCAGATACTCTTCAGTCATAACCTTTGTCTGCCTTGTGATCAGATGTATCTTCCTTGGTTGCTCTCCAGAAAGGCCTTCATCGCCTGCAGAGTACTTTCTAGATTTCCATGAACGGTTTGAAATGATGCACAGTTTTGCATGAGAGCAAGTCAACTTGACAATGGAGAAGATGGAGATGCAAAACCCGATTCAAAAGAAAGGACTTGCTTCTAAACTAGTCACTCTGAGACTGTCCTTACATAGTCTTAAACAGGTTGAATGATGTCGTAATTCGAGTCCATATGTCATCAAATTCTAAGCCTAAAGTTGTTCATTACAACAGGCTAGTTCCTTATCATGGCCATAGTACGTAGTTCCCACAGTGTATATATTGTTAATTGTACACCAAGATTATGGTTGTATATGTGTATAAATCTGTAAATTTGTGCATTTATTTATTAATCTAGAATTTAATTTGTTGTATATTATTTATTGAAGTTATTATTTAAATACTGCACTGATTTTCGTTAGTTATAAATATGGTTTCCTAACCATGGATTAGACTGTCCAGGACGTGCAGTTCTTGGGAAGGCAGATTGTTACAAATTTTGTGTATATGTAAGTAATTTTAGTGACATTATATGCAAATTATAGTATCTCTTGTATAAGGTAATGTGAAATGCCACAAGAATGTTAAGCTCCACCGGAATAATAAGATTACAGGGGCATGTCTATTACAGGAGCCTGCTATGAGGTACTTTTCATTTTGCCATTTTAATTTAACTATTTGCTTTTTCTGTTCTAAATTGTTTATAATAATTTTTCTGGTCTGCATTTTTCCATTTAATATTTTCTTCCTTAATCATCCTGCATTGCAACAGCTCGTATCCAATCGCAGATCCAGAATTTAAACAAAGAAGTCAACTTCATACATACCACTGCTATTATCAAACAGCCCTTTTTTTTCCCCACTTCCTTTGCTGGTGCTAAGATGCATTGCTTTGCTGCTCCATTTTATAATCTGCATGAAAATATGTTATATGCTACAAAAAATGGTGGGTTGTTTATTGCACCCATTATGTGTGCACACAATCACAGTGATGTGTAAACAAGAATACGTCTGGTCAGAATTATTCATCAAGAAATAAAACTATGTCTTGCTATTTCCACCAACATCTGCAAGTGTCTTCATCTTTTATGCATTACATCTGTATGCCAGCCACATCTATAACCATTTCAACCCCAACTAAAAAATAACTGGTTTCTGCTCTCCCAGGCATCCTAAATTTATCACAATTAATATAGGTCATCTACTGAATTTTTATATGTGTATGTGTACTTAACGGTAATAGGAAAAAATATAGTACTGGGCTATTAAGGGATTAGAAGTGATTGAATATCACAGAAAACAGTTCTTAAAATATTTTTTTCTAAATCCTATGCCATACTTTGGTTTTTAGTCATTTGCTCCTGTTGAACAGACCCCTGAAATAAGTCATGTCTACCAAGCCATGACGGTGAGTTTACCACATTAATATAATGCAGATGTTTTCTCAAGTAGAAGTTCTGAGATGAAAATTCACTACTCATCCAGTAATGCTAAAGGGCTGGGAATCTATTTTAAAGCCATCTGTTTTTCAAGGAAAATCTGACAGGCATAAAGTGATTTTTTCTACCACACGATGCAGAAGTAAATGTGTTAATGTTAATCTGCGAGTCAACAAAGTTAGTAACATTTTACTTCATTTCTCCAGACAATTTTCTCAAAAGCTGAAAAAAATAAAAAAAAGCGCTTCACCATCAAAGTTACTGTAGAATTTAACAATAGCTCTGCTGTGATTAAAATATTCTGATAGTAACTCAGGTCCAGTGCCTTTAACAATATCCACATTAGGACTATCTTTATAAGCATGCAGACAATTTGCAGACAGGTATTTGTTATCAGTTGTAACAAGGTTAGCCATTTTAAGATCTACCACAGGAAATGATTCTCTTGATGATAATATGAATGTATCGGGTATATCAGGTCATGTCAGGTATGAATATAGCATGCTAATTCATAACATGGAATCAGCAGTACTGACCATACTTACTCTTATCACAGAAAAAAGCGAAAACTGTTCATTATTGTTTGAATTCACACAATCCAATATATTTCAAGCACTACAGCTGCAATACCAAAGTAAGCATCAGCACTGATGTCCAGAGTTAGTGGAGATACTGGCTATGAAGCCTCAGCCAGTCTTCTTCCAATAATGTTGTCTGACAGCGCATATTCTAGAGATGTGCGTAGGTAATTCTGAATGGCATACAGCAGGGGTTGGCAAACTATGGATCATGGGCTTGAATCTGGCACACTACTTATTCTTAATCTGGTACCAGAGATTGATACTTTTTGCATGAAAAATAAATCAAATTTATGTGCTATTATATGCCATGGCCGAGAGTTGAGTTGAAAGTTTGTGAATTACGACAGTGAGTGGTGTTACTGTTGTATTCTCTCATTTGTTGCTGTTTTTAAAAGCAGTTCCAATACATAAATGTTGTACATTGTGTGCCACACAAGCATGTGGAGTTTTGCTGTAGTGGTGCACATGGCATCATCTGTCAAGGTAATCTGCAATATTTTGTTCTTTCCATTCTATTTTATTCATTGTCTATGGGCACCATGTCACTCTCAAAATCAAATAAGAGGAGAAAAATACACCTCGAATGCCGTGCTTTTACAGCAGAATGGAGTGCCAATTATTTTGACATAGAATTAATTGCCAAAGTTTTATGTTTAATATGGAATGACATAATAGCTGCAAAAAGAGTACAAAATAAGTTGCGATTCCTAAACTAACCACTTGACATGG